GGGGAAGGTGGGGGCTGGCGAACGGGTTGGATTGGGGCGCTGACTGTGTTGAGGGACAGGCGAGCGGGGGGAGGACCGCACGACACGACTATGGACGGGGTCGCAGCACAAATTTGCTCATGGGCGACCCCAGGGTAAAAACCCGGCGCTGCTGCGCATGCCCCGCATCCCGCACCCACGTGTTTCCGGGCCCGCCACTGATACTGCCTCAGTGGGCGAAAGGCTGAGTCCCTACATGCCTCTGCTGCACACAAGCCGCTCATGCACGCGCACGAACACACACATACGCATGCGTGTTCGGCCCACCCACACCCACGCGTACGCGCCCGCCCGCACGCACATGCAAACGTCATGCGCACGCACGCTGCTGTGTACGCACCTCCCTGAACGTGCTGTACTGGCGGCTGACTGCATATATTCCAGTTCCGACGTACAGCACACCGCCGAGGATGAGCGCGCCGCGGCCGACGCGCTTTGCGCCGGCCCACATGCGGGACCCCAGGCTGATTGCACAGGGTTGAATGAGGCGTCAGGAATGGCATGAGTTATTGAGGGACTTGACGCGGCGCGTTTGCGGATCGGGCAAGCGCATTCACAGGCGAGGCAGGGGGTGGCGCAATGTGGCAAGCGCGCTTGGTCGGCGCGCTCGAGGCGACTTTGCGTGCAGGAGGCTAGATACATGGGGCTCACGGGGTGACAGCTGCCTTTTCAGGACGCGTCTGCGACACAGACGCCATAACTACGTTGCCCTGTTGTCCGTTCCAGATCACCCAAGTCCTCGCAGATCTCTCAAAAAACTGTGCCTAACCAGGAACACGACTGATTGAGCTGTGCGCTAGTAATGCACTCAGTTGTCTGTTAGGACGGTTGCTGCGTCAGACCTTTCCTGTTAGTACTACGTCACCTGGAGTGCTGTCGAGGTGATGCCGGCATGACGCCCGTCTCATCAGGCGCCTTGGCATAAAGGATGGTCGGCTACGGCTGAGACCAACCTCACAGCATCTGGCGCCTCTACACTGCGCCCCTTTGAATTCGCATGCCCGTCGGCTGAAATGGCAGCCCCTGGGACCATGGGGCTGCCTGCCGCCTGACGCATGAGGCACATGAGTACAAGCCCCCCCCGCCGAGTTGCTCACGATTGCCCACAAAGCCCACCAAATCCTTCTGGTTTGCCGTACTGCTCGGCCTTGTGCATGGGCCGCAGGCGGTTAATTCAAAGCACTGCCGGGCGCAGAGCAGGCGCACGTGGCTCGTCATCTAGGGGCTGGGTGTGGGCGATCAGTCAGCACCCAGCCGCATGAAGGAGAGGGATGGTGATCGCCCCCCTGGCTTGAAATTTCCGGTGATTCCAGGGCCTCTGGCGCAGGGGCCACAGCACATGCAGTCCAGCAGTCTCGCTCCCATAACACAAACGCGGAGCGATGACGCCCTAGGGCCCGATGCCCAGTGTGTGTGTTGCAGGTACACATGCGCTGTATTTCTGCGCGCGCGGCATGAACAACTATGCGCTTGAATTCGCCGCTCACCCGTCATCGTGGACGGTTACGCTAGCTCCCCTGCCAGCAGCGCTTGCACAGTGTGCAGAGCAGATGGGACCCCAGCACATCCCCATTACCCGCACCCAGCTTCCCTTGACTGTTCACAGCTGAAACCTTGAGCACTCGCATCTTATGATAGTTCATTGTCTTCCAGCGCTCCTCTGGGCACCTTCCGCATCACATCGAGGACCATCGCCATCTTCACCTCAAGCGGACGTCTGAAGAGTTGCGGCCTCGTACTGTAGTCAATCATCTAATATTTTACGTTGGTATATTAATGATAGCGTTCGAGCCGTCGCGGACATGAATGACCTTGTCGTGGGGCCAAGGACCCCGCAAGGGCTGCAGCAGCAGCTGCTGGAGGTGCAGAAAGGCAGACCGATACATGATGTTTTCGTTCTTGTCGAACCTCTGGCGTGCGAGCGGGAGTACTCGGTGCAGGTCGTTCAGGCGCGCGACGGGCAGCTCGCCGTGCTCAAATCATACCAACGTCTGATGATGGACGCCGAGAGGAGGCTTCAGGCAAGCGAGAGACGCGCCTCGCCGCTTGCGCGCGCTTGTCACCTGGTCAAACCAAGTGCCGGCAGCAGCAGCAGCAGCAGCAGCAGCAGCAGCAGCAGCACGAGCAGTGGACATGGCTCCATTGCACCTGCCAAGGCACCCTGATGAGCTTCGCGGGGCAGATGTCACCTGCATATCCCTGCTGCAGTGGCGCCCCTCCCGGCCACACTCGATTTGCCAGCACACCCGGCTAGGAGGGGAGCCCCTGCCCACCTGGACCTCCCTCGCCAGCACAACTTCAAATGGGTCTGCACCCACCCTGCACACATCACCATCCCCTCCGCCCCCGTGGCACACGCACTTGGTGCGCACACGCGAGCCCCCTCTTGACTGGCGTCTCACACAAGAGCGCCCGCCGCGCCCCCTCATCCCATTGTTGTTGCTACACCAGGTGGAGCTGGAAATCGAGCTGCACTGCCGCGCCGCCGCCGCCTCGCCGCACGTCGTCCAGTTGTGGGGCGCTCTGGACGATGCAACGCACACGCACCTGCTCTTGCAGCACTGCGGCGGCGGCGACCTGCGCGCCGGCGTCGCCGCCGGCGCGCTTGCGGACGAGCGGCGCCTGCGCGACGCGCTCGTGCGGCCGATGCTGCTGACGCTCACGGCGCTCGCGGCGCAGGTGCGCGCGCGGCCGCGGGAAACTACTGGCAGCCTGCATGGCAGCTGGGGGCCGCGGAGCCGCCTGCGTGGCAGCGGCGGGCCTGCAGCTGCAGCATGCCCTGCGGCTCGGAAAGGCAGGGCTGGGGTGTGGCGATCGAACGCGGGGCTGGCAGTCGCGCGGCCCTCCGTCTTGCCCCCTCCCGTTCCAAACCGCAAGCGACACACCACCAGTGATCCCCGCTTACCGTGACACGCGGCGGCAACCCCCTCACACGAACCCCACAGGGCATCGTGCACCGCGACCTCAAGCCGGAGAACATATTCGTTGCCGCCGACGGCGGCCCTGTTACCGCGGGCAGCGGCGGCGGCTTGAGCTTGGGCCCGAGCGTGCGGCTCGGGGACTTCGGGCTGGCGGTTTTGGAGGGCGGCTGCCTCGCGCCGGCCTCGCTGCTTCAGTCAGACGCCGCCCACGGCGTTGGGAGCTGCGAAGCGCACGGCAGCAGCAGCGGCGGCAGCGAAGCGGGCGCGGACAGCGACGGCGAAGGGGGCGCCGCGCACTCACGAGCGGACAGCCGTAGCGGCGGGTGCGCGTCCCCCGGCCCTGCGAGCAGCAGCGGCTGCAGCAGCGGGAGCAGCAGCGGCCGCACCGCCGGCGGCGGCTTCAGCCAGGCGCGCAGCTTCAGCCTCAAGAGCCTGGCTGCGCTGGTCGCCGCGCCGCCGCAGCGCCACGCGGCTGGCACGGCCGCGTACGCGGCGCCCGAGGTGCTGCTTGCAGCGTTGACGCAGGCGCCGGTGCAAGACGTGACGCACCCCAAGGTGCGCGCGTGCACACCCCCCCTGCCCCTCCCCCCAAACACACACACACACACACACACACACACACACACTTTACTTGTCCCATCTCCTTCCGCACACCCCGGATGCACCTTCGCAAATGCCATGTTGTCTGCCAGCCGCTTGTGTTTTGTGGTGGTGCGCTTGTTGCAATTCATGTGGGCAATGAAAGCTGGCGTGTTTCTGTGCGAGTGCACATGCATCTGTGTAGGTGCGTGCGTCTGCTCCTATGTGTGCTTGCGCGCGTGGTGCCGCGTTCGCGTGCGTGTGCGAAGTGAGATGGCAGCCGCCGCCACTCCTGCCGTCTCACTACGCCCCCCACTAGCCCCTCAAACCCTGAATCAACCCTGAATCAACCCTGAAACACTCCCGCCGCCGCGACGCGCCGCCCACCCGCAGAACGACGTGTTCGCCCTCGGCCTCGTGGCCCTGGAGTGCCTCTCCAGCCGCCACCCGTTCGTCACCCCGAACTCGACCCCCGGCTCCATAGTGTGCGCCGCCCTCAGCAGCGACCCGGTGCCGCTCCCCTTTGCCGCCGCCGCCCCCGCGGGCGCCGCCGCCGCCGCCGCCGCCGCGTGGCGGCGGGGCCCGGCGCTGACTCAGCTGTGCCTGGACTGGCTTGGACGGGCGCTGGAGAAAGACCCGGCGCGGCGCCCTGGGGCGGAGGAGCTTTTGAAGCACCCCTGGATGGCAGCAGAGCTGCCGCCCTCGGCGTTTTCGCCCGCATTAGGCGGGCAGGCTGCGTGGGCACCGGACGCGGGGCTCGAGCGCGCAGATGGCTTCGAGGCGTGCGGCGGCCGCGGCGGCCGCGGCGGCGGCGCGCCGTGCGCGGG